ATACACCAAAGACAGCATAAAAAACACCTTCAGGAGGGATGTTTACTTCTGCTAAAATGACAAAATTGCACATTTTGTGTTACCTATTTTAAAGCAACCTACCACACCACAAATCCAAGTACAACTGAAAAGCAGCAATTGGTTATAAGTTGATATGTATGAAACACTACAAGAACAGAATTAACAATATTCACATAACTTACACACAATACCTAAAATATAAACTGAAAGAACCAGACCTCAATCCTTGCATCTGAATTCAGATCCCTACGAGAGCCAGCACTGCTGGAAGCTGATCTGGGGTCCACTGAACATAACTCATACTTGCATGGCACTTTTTTTGACCAACCCTTATCTAAGCAATCAAAACCAAGAACAAGGTTCACACAAACAAAACAGACCAATAAAGGGTCCCTCAAGTATCTCAGGAACCAATCTTGGAAAGCTTCAATTCAGGGTACATTAACTTTAGGCCCATAGAAACAGCAAAATTCAAAACTGTATCAACCAAACTGCCAAGTGCTTGAAGACATGACAACCCTATGGTAAACATTGTTGTTGGGATACTTTAAAAAGAAAAGGGAGAAGAAGAAAAAAAACCAAACCAAATATACTACTCCAAAAGCTTCCAGCTCTGTTTGCTACCACAGCAGCTTCACCACCTTGTAATGGCAATGAAAAATATTTTTTATCATCAAACATCCCACACTTCAGCTCATGCTTCTGCCACACAGGCAACTAGCAGCTCTTATCACTACAGGGGTGACGTTCCATCCCTTTTCCTCCCCACCTCTTCCCCCCACAAGCCCTGCAGTCTGGCCAGCTCCTGAAACCAGCTCTGGTGCTAATCAGCCCCTTCCACCTGCCTTGAGTCTCTGAGCTGGCAGGAGTTTGGCCAGCCTGTGATGAGCAAAAGTATGGCTTACCCAGAGCAGAAGGGGGATGGCAAAGCAAACTCAGCACTGGCCTCCCAGATTTTCTTACCCATCTCATTTAAAAGCAAAACAAACACACCACAACTATCCTAATAAGAAAGCCCCAAGAGTAATTTGCTATCCTCATAAAAGTAAAGATCCCCACATTATCTGTCAAATGGGGCGTCCAAACCAGATTCATGGTTGACCCTTAGGTCATTGGACTAGAAATCACAGGTAAACATATTTGTATCTGAATGTTGGGAATCCATGCATTAAAAAATTGCTATTCAAGTCATTGTCCCATGCTGAAGGAAATGTAGTGAAACTAGATTAAAAAGCCTAGTTTTCAGCCTCAGTTTCCGCAAGAAGCCATCTATCTTCCCTCTAAACACACTTTTCATCAGCAATACATTCTGGGAAAATGGTACAGGCAAATTTTAAGGTTCAGGCTCAAGTTAAGCCTTTGCTACTATTACAATATCTGTAGCGATGCAGAAAAAAAGGAAAACAGCAGACTGCAGCTGCAAGAACACTAAGCAGGGAAGCTTTCACAGCAGTGTTAAAAAAATATCAGTTTGCTGCCACACAACCTTGCACTTGGACAGTAAGAGAGCACCTGACTCTCATTTGACTATGGGAATCACGCAACAGCTAAAAGGCCATTTGTTCTGTAATCTTACACATACAAGACAACAAGTTTGGGAGACTTGACAGCTCAAGAGATCAGGAACAGAGCCTTCCATCTGTAAGTCACCAGTTCAAACAGAGACAAGAATAGTAGTGATCAAAAGCCACATGTGATGGCTGTTCAGGGATTAGATGAAGAGACGGTTACTCAACCCAGGTCCCAGCAGATCAGTGTGAACCACAAGAGCTTTCTTCACCATTCTGCAGCTGGTTTTCAGTCCTGAATCCATTACACCTGGATTCTGTACACGTTAATAAGTAGCAAAGAAACTGATCTGCTACATACACACACTGAACTGGTATTGGAGTAAAGGACTTTACCCTCTGGTTGTCAATGATGTCTACACTACAGCATGTGCCAAATTTTTTATTTATTATTCTTATAGTTCAGACTTTTAGCTTTTCTTATTACTAGAGACAGCTTTCAAAGTAATATTTACCTCCCCATGCCTTTCACAGCCTCAGATGCTGTAACCCTATTTATAAACAATAGTTCCCAAACTTGCTGTGTATTTCTGAAAATATAGCAATTTAAGAAGTACATTAGCATAAGAATTTCAGAACTTTGTCATTTGAGAAATGACTCTGAGACAATATTATACATTTTTTTATCAAACCTAATAAACCCCATTATTTCATGGGTGCCATGTCTATATAAAGGCAGTGGGAAAAAAATCTCTATGTGAAGAAACAAACATTCCTTTTCATATTATGCATTCTTCAATACATCAGTCTCTGCAAAGTCTGCTAGCAGTAACTCCTTTCCAGCCTGACTTTAGTTTTGAAAGTCTGCAAAAGTACCTGGAATTTCCAAGCTGGATTAGCAAGATGAAAACAAGTTCAGAGTGTATGTTGACTGAAGGTCCCCAGAGCTTGGGCTCATTGTCCTGCTTCAAACACCACTACCAAAAACAATCTCCTACAGAAGCCCAACAATACGCAGTTCATAGTTCTTAGTAGCACATTACTTCCCGAGAATGAAATTGCTGATGAAAAGCCAAGACCCTAGAAACCTAGCAGGAAACTTATCCTTAGCTGTAACTAAGGAGGCCCTCACATACAAAGAATTCAACTTGCTATTCCAGGAGTTTGAAGAGAACAACATACCAGACTGATGAGATTTCAGTAATCTTGAACTTCTGAGATTCCTCTTGCTGCTTTCAATGCCAGACGTACTACTGCACTGCAATAATCAGATCTGGAAACAACAAAGAGGTGCATGTGGTAAACACAGAGAGGTCTGCTGAGCTGTCTGGACAGCAGCACAGACGCACCAGACAGACACATCCCACTGGATTGTTTTAGCAGCTATCTCAAACCTCTCAAAGCCTAGCTGACTTGAGATATTATTAAATCCCAACTCTTTCTATATAGGCAATAAGCCCTTAACAGAATCATTTGTCCCTGCCCTGTGGCCTCGTGGCCTATAAAGCTGGACATTCCCAACAGGTCTCAATTTCTCAGCAGCTGTCATAAGGGTTTGCTTTGGGGTGGTTGTTGGGGTTTTTTGCGGGGTGTGTGATTTGGTTGGGTGTTTTTTCTCTCTCTCTCTTTTTTTTTTTTTTAATGAGAACACGGAATTGTATCTTGTACAGCTGCACAGCCAAGGTCTCTGGTGACAGAGGGCTACATCACTTGCTTCAGCCAAAGTCTTTGAAAAAGGACCTAGACATTTTAAAAGACACTTCCTTGATATTAGATATCTTTTGGGTGGAGCACAAATAAGTATACTAGTTTCCATTGAATTCAGCATAGTCCAAGTCGATTTATACGTAATCTATAATAATCTTTGTAGGTCAAATGATGTATCTCAAATATTAGTCACAGCCCATTCAGTATTAAAAAAAAAAAAAGTGCATAGCAATTAACTGCCAAGAAAATGGAGCCAGAAGTTTGTATACTTCCAATTTTCTCAGAAATCAGACTGATTAATATAGCTGTTACAAAACCACACACTTTCACAGAAACAGGGATTACCTTTATCTGTAACCATAGCAACTTTTCAGTAGTTTGTGTTAATGTTACTCTCTCTCTGATAACTTGCCACTATCTCTTTCAAGCTATTTGTGTAAGGTTTTGAATGTGCCATCTGAGACCACGAAGTAACCAGAAGTTGAAATGTAAACTTACATTCTTCAATCACACTCCTGTAAGTATACTATGTCATATACAATGCTGTTAATTTTTGCCATAAATTCATGATTAGTCAAGAAGTTAAATAGTAACAGATTAAAATAAATTTAACATGATTCACAGGTTTTTAAGACAAACATTTTAAGAGGTATTCTATGAACATATAAAAGAGACAGTTTTCCCACTAGTGAAGATTATCTGCTTCTCTATCCGCAAGGAATTATGCCACTGACACGTCAGAGACTTTGCTATTCAGTACCATAAGAAACAAAAATCCTCCCATTATACATTTATTTTGGCCTGAACAAATACAAGACAGATCAGAAAAGAGCCAGTCCCTTTGTTCTAGAAGTTAGATGATAGTAACGAATAGGTACCTCAGCATAACAAAAACAAATCAGATAAAAGTCACAGAGTAAAGCTGTAAAAGCTAGAGGACAGACAAGAACGAGACAAAGGAATGAACTGACATATTTACTTCCTGAATTGTTGACTTACCATCATCCACAGCTCAGAAGGATTAGCGTTCTGTGCAAAAAATTATTTAAGACGACACAAGACAACAAAAATATTTACTTGTGAGTAGGAGGAAGAAGAGAATAATTTTTTTTTTTTTTTCACTGAAGCTCACAGGGCAGCTTACCAAGCTGTGCCCTTCTCTTTTCAGTGTAAAGTTTGGCACAGTTGAGATGTGAGCACAGAACCTTAGAAGAGTGAAAGAAACTCGGCACGCTCTTTGCTCCCTCTAACTCTTACGCAATGACACCTATTAAAGGACAAGCCTGGACAAACACACGGGAATGGACTTCAGAACACAACGGTGCACTTGAAGTCAATCCATGCAGGGGGTGAAGTAACCACCACGGTTTTGCTGAATGCCTCCACATTACACCAGCACATATGGTGGAAGTTTCTGCATTTCGTTGTTGCTGCTGTTGTTATTAGCAGTCAGGTAACTGCCCTTTTTATTTTCTAAGGTTACCCAATCCTAACATCCTGTGGAAACACGAGGGGATGTTCACACCCTTTATCTATCACTCCAGGCTTTTGGCAAAACCTAGGAGGCAAGTTGGGCTAAATCTCACAGGCTTCCTGGGCGAACACCAAAACAACAACAATAACTTTTCGTAACGCAAAACGCCAAAGTACGACAGACTTTACAAGCGTTAACCCTCGGTTTAACCAGAAGAGCGGTACAACACAAAGCGCACGTTCTTCCCGAGCAGCCCCGTCCCCACAGCAGCCAACCCCGCCGCACTGGGCTCACCCGAGGGGCAGCGGGGCCCGCTCCGGGCTGGGGGAGCCCTGGGGCGGGCAGGGCTTCGGCCCCGCGCTGGAACCCGCGGGCCGTGCGGAGGGCGCGGGGCCGGGCCCGGCCGGCGCAGCGCTGGCGGAGGGCCGGCTCTGCCTCTCCCTTCCACCCAAGGACACGAGTACAAACACCTCTGCCCCGGGATGGCTCCTGCGCACGCAGCCGCCCGCCGGGGGTGGGGAGACGAGGACGGAACCACCAAAAAAGGCAGAGAAAGAGCCAGCGGGCCCCGCGCCCGCCGTCGCCCCGCAGCCCCTCGCCCGCTGCCTGCGGGGGTCGGGGGCACGAAGGGGGAACCCTCCGCAAAGCCCCTCCGCCGCTCCCCGAGGCCAATGGGGGGGCCGGCCGCCATCCCCCCGCCCCGTCGCGGTGCGGGGCCGCTGCCGCAGCCCCGGCCCGGCCGCCCCGGCCCCGCCGCGCTCCCTCACCTGCGCCGGGCCCGCCGCGCCCGCCGGCCCCGCTCGCTCCTCACCAAACTTTTTTTTCCCCTTTCTCCGTGTTTCGTTGCCCTCAGAGTGACGCGGGCGGGCGCTGATTGGCGGAGCCCAGGCAGGCAGGCCGCGGGGAGCGGGAGGCGGCGCCACGGCTCGCGAGTAATTATTACACGGCGACGGCGGCGACGTGAACCACGGAATGCTATTTAAAGGGACAGCGGCCCGCCCCGCTTCCCCCCCGCCCGCAGGGGTGACCTGAGGCGAGCGCGGCGGCGGGAGGGCGAGCGGACCGCGGCTGCTGGGGCGGCGGCGGCCGCACTCCTGCCCCACAAATAAATTCATTTTGCTGTAAAATACCCCTGGATGCGCCCGCTGCCGCCCCCTCTGCCCTTCGGGCCCGTGAAGGGGAAGGTCTCTCCTGGCGGTGTTTCCTGCGGGGCTCAGGGCGCTGTGTGGGGTCAGTCCCTCACAGGCCCCTCGCCTTCTGCGTTGCCCTTGGAGTCTCTTGTTATCTCTAATGTCACCTGCTTGTTTGTGTTTTCTTTTCTCCATGTGGGGCTCTCAGACAATCCACTGCAGCTTCTTTACATGCACACCATTTCCACCTCACACTCGATATATACGGATATAGTTTTGGTGTTTTTTTTTTTTTTTTTTTTTTAAATACATTCTCCCCGCTTGTCACAGCCCATACCATGCAGGGAGGTTTTAAAGGTGAGGTTTAAGGATGGTAAGTGACTCGATGGCTTGAAGCAGATAGGGAGTACAGGATTCCAGGGACGTGAAACAAGCCAAATAAAAGCAGAATTTTATCTGTGGATAGGGAAGAGGAGCGGGGCAAGGCTAGAGCAGCTGCCAGGAGGTGAGTGGAGCTTGCAGAGAGTTTTGGAGCAGGGAAGGAGAAGTGTGCAGTCGTGCAGCCAGAGAAGCTGAGGCTGGGTAAAATGTTCCCATTTCATACAATCACAGGATACACTGAGCTGGAATGGACCCATCAGGATCATTGATTTCTTAGGGGTACTGTGAAGAGATTTGAAATTTGGGGTCTTTTTTTTTTGAGGAAAGCATTACGAGGGGACACATAAAGATTTCAGCGAAGATAAAATCCAAGCAGAGACTTCTGATTGCTAGGAGCTTGCCATCACCCACGTTGAGCTGAGTAGGCAGAGCCGTAAACCTGGAAAAAGCACTAAAAGGGAAGAAAACACCTTATTTGTTTGTTTGTTTTGAATATCAGAGCTTGGATCAACACTAGAAAAAATGCTAGTGCAACCAGCATGAAAGTGCTAACATAGCTTTACAGCTATTTTGGTAGAGGTTGTTCAGTCTTGGCTGTCTTTGCTGATGCAATAGGTTTTCCAAATGCCAGGTTGCATGAGCAGAAGATGACCTGCATTGCATGTGGGTATCACAGCATTCACCACAACATTATTTGGAGCACTTTCATGGTCTTGGCAGTAATCATAAGGAGCTGCAGGGAGTGATGATTGCATTCCTCCCAGCCTCTCCGTGATCATCTCTTTTTAATATGATTTTTTTCAAAACTTGAATTAATTCCCTCTGGTTGTTCTCGGACTGTTTTCTTTGTGTCAAGTTTCATCTCATCATTGGAAATACAAATGCAGAATAGTAGGGCACAACATCCTCAGTGTTCAGGAAAAGGCCAACTGATTGTTCTGCAGTTGGGAGTGACCAGCACAGCAGCTGGCAGAACAGCAGCGCCGATGCAAGGGAAATGCAAACAGTGAACAAGACAGACACCTCCTGCCAGGACTTACTGACCAGCAACACATGGTGCAACAAATGTTAAGTTGTGGCATCAGATGTCAAGGGGGAGCAGCAGAACGTTCAAATGTGATCTTGCTCAAGTTGCGGGTGATGCTCGTCCGTTCTCATGTGCTGAAAAGAGAAAACTCAGTTACAAAAATGCTGGAGTAAGTGGGGTTTTTGGAGCGTTCAGAATCACTATGTTTGGTACACTCAAAAGCTGCCACAGCTCAGAAGAGGCAAACAACCTCTAGGAAAACAGGGAACACAAAGTTTTATGTCATTTGCATTTAAAAAAGCTTGTAGTCAAGCTGTCTCTCAGGAAGAAAATTCCCAAACAAGATGGCCAGGTTTATTCTTGGAGTAGAATAAAGGATGAATTTAAAAATTAAATGGACATGTATTTCACTGTGAATGAAAAGCATAATACTGAAGTAATAGTGTTCAGTTTTCTGATTTGAGGATCTAGGTACTGATAGGCTAAAATGAAGTCAAGTAGGATAAGGATTAAAAGGGAAGTGTATAGTCAGAGAAGTGGCTAAGGTGTTAACTACCCAGAGAAGGGTGTCCTTGGCTTTGAAATCAGCTGAAGAAGTCAAAAGTGATTGTGAGCCAGCAGCTGAAAACAGAAGCCTGTTTTCTGCGGACCACTGCAGAAGAATTGGAGGCTATTGTTCCACCTTAAGTTGATCAAAATAGTTTTTGTTTTTAAGAGTGCACACATGTTCAGTAGGGCACAGGACTGCCTGAAGCATGGGGAGCCTGGTATTCAGTGGGACCTTCTTCATGGAACAATTTCATTCTACCAGGCATGATTTTGCTTTGACAGAGAAATACAAAAGAAACTCCAAACAATTAGGCAGGAGATCCTAGTCCAAGCTGAAACACCCAGGTGAAAGGTTTTTCCCAGCTGTGCCAGTGATTTGTGATGTATGGCAAAAGGGTGAGTGGTAATCAGTGAACGTTACTTCCTCTTCTGTAACGTCACAACTGGAACGCTGTTTATTCTCCTTGACCTGCATTACTCAGCTCTGCTTTCATATATTAATGCTCCCATCACCCTCATTCCCCAGCACAACTTATTTTCATGGTTTTAAGGACTATCTATTCATATAACTCTTTAGAAAATATGGACACAATTTTTCTGGAAGAGGTTTCTTCTGATTTTTACTCGCTTCTCCCAAATCCATTTAATCTATCTGCTAACACAGAGGACCTTTTCCTTTGCCTCCTTTTATGTTTGCTTCTGCTACAGTGGCTTGTTATTTCTTTTGCCAAAGCTTTAGATATCACTAGAGGAATCTTAGTAATGTATTCATTTTGAGGTAGATTTATCTTCAGAGCTGGAAAATGGGAAGACTCTTCTTCACATCAGTGGGCTTTGGATCTGGTGTTAAGTGCTAACATCATTTCAGTTCTAATCTTGTTGTTTGGGGCCCAGTGTGCAGCTCCTGACTCTGCTGAGATTTTCACTGTAGGTTTATTGAGAGCAGAATCAGCTCCTGCTTCCTGAGAGACAGACTATAAAAATACAAAAGAAATAAGCAAACAGTTCTCTTGAACAAGTGAATCTTAAATTTTATTTTATTTGATTCTGAGTCTCACTGGATTTTTTTTTTTTTTATCCACAGGTACTTTGACCTCTGTTCTAAGCCTTAGCCTAACAGGATGAACTGGAGTTTCAGCTGCCCAGGCCTACTGGAAATTTGGCCCAGTTATTTGGCAGTGGCCTTCATGAGCAGCAATGCCAGCTTTCCATTGCAATGCCCACGTTCAGAGATTTGCAGAATTAGAGTCCAAATTCTGCTTTGTAAGCCCAGAATGCCACTGACTTCAAGGGGGTCGTAGGATTTTAGCCAAGAGCAGAAATTGGCCCAGGATTTTTTCAGACTCTCTCATGCTTCTGTTTATATGATATTACCATCAAGCTCTATTAGCATGCTCCATGATGCATTTTACTTTTAAATTACATAAAGGATATTTACTGTGCTGATGCTACATAGTTTGCAAGAAAGATGCACATGTGGAAATGAAATTACCATCAGGATTTCCAGCTTTCAGCATTCATTTTCCAAAACAACCTAGGGACTATTTCTCATTAAAAAAAAAAAAAAAAAAATTAAAAAAAAAAAGGAGCAGAAATGAAAATCCAATTTCTTGGCATTTATGTATGGCATTCTGGAGCCTTACTCATCAAGGCTGTTGTGAAAATGGTTGGAATAAAAAAGCCTCGTATTGTTCAAAACTTTAATACTCTGCTTTTGTTTTCTGTATACTGGTTTCCCAATCAGAGACATGAGTCCATCCCTAAAAATAACAAAATGTTTTCCTGCCTCTCAGAGGATGGGAGAAAAAAATCATCTGGTGAAAACTGAGTGATCATCAGGGATAATAGGTAAAAACACCAGAAGAGGTTGAGAACGGATGGATGAAACCTGTGAAAACAGGCAAGTGGGATGCCAGGCATCAGACAATGCCCAGGGCTGGCAGTGGAGCCAGGTCAGGGCTGCCCTGCCCACAGAGGTGGCTCCACTTCAGGGCCAGCAGCTCCTGGGTGCCCTTGCAGCCGCTGAAGCCGAGAGCAAAGCGGCTGCCCGGTGACTTTCCTGGGCAGGGGTTCCCCAGGGCAGGCTGCTTTGGAGCCACCGGGCAGCTCAGCATCTTTCAAAATGAGGCAGATTGTGTTGCCACGTGGTTCCAAATCTGGGAATTCCTTCTAGATAGCCTTGTTTAGAAATCTGGGCTGGGGCCTTTTAAAGCCCTAATGACTCCCCACTTAAGCTTTTAATATCCATGTTAAATAGTTCATTAAGCATTCAGGAGAACAGTGTGCCATTGTGGGCTGATGAGTAACTTTAGGCAGAGAAGTTATTTTGTACCTCTGTGCTTTTTCTTCTCCTGCATCTGCTTTGTCTGTGTAGATAGTAAAGTCTTTCAGGGCAGGAGTGGCTCACGCTGTGCGTGTCTAGTCATCAACACACCAACTCCAGTCTCACTGGGAAATTCTCCGTGCTCCCCAGTCCTGCCCATAACACAACCCTCTGAACATGTCTGTCTATGCTTTGTACATGCTACAGGGTTTGAGTATTAATTACTATTAATTACTATTTAAAATCTGGACTCCTAAATTCTGTAACATTAAAGTAGCCATTTACCATATGGATAAACCCTTCCACAAATGGGTCACTGCGCAGAAAGCCTGGAGGCTATCAACTGCTCTGGCAACTAGCTGCTAAATTGTGAGGATACAGGGACCAGAGATGCTCTAACAGGATGGGTTTGGCCACTCAAAAGTCTCCATGTACTCAGGAAAGCTGGCCCTACCTGTTTCTGCTCGAAATTTAAGGGGAGCAAAGATCCCATTGTCAGGGCAGCACTGCTTGGTGATCCTTTAATAGCAGCACTCCTTCAGAGACCTTTAAATCCAGCAGAATTTAATGCCTCCCTGAAGGTACTCAGAGCCAATTTTTGCTTTTGCAACTTTTTGTTGTCTCCACTGCATGCAGGAGAGCTCTTAGCTCATACTGTGTCACTGGATTCTTGGATTTAGAGGGTTGTTCTGCATGAATAAACTCAGTGCCTGCACACATCCTGGTGTCTAGAAAGTAAACAATAAGCCTGAAGCACCTGTCAGGGATCTAGGTACAAATGTCCCAAATGACAAAAATGTCTGTTCAGCCGTCTTCCCACCTGCTTAGGAATGCCGGGAGCACCAGACTACTCTGGGTTTGGCACTCTTGTTTGTTCTGTTCCTGTCCATCTGACCTTGCTAGCTCAGATAGGCT